CACCTAGTCCGAGCCCATTGTATGCATGATAATTTCCAGATTTGGACCATGGACATGGTACATTCCCAGATGCTTCGCCGGCATCGCCAACGAGACAAGTGAAGCTAATCCTTTGACCAATTGTCTGCTAAACAATCGTGGTATCCTTCCTTCCGTCATGGGCTAATCACCAAACCTATATCCTCGTATCACACCTTCACCATCACAATTTTTACTTGCTTATTAAAATGTGGTATGGTGTGCACTATTGAACGGAAATAATAATAAATCTCAACACCAAACACTGGCTTTCTCATCCTTTTCACCCTTGTGCTGGGAGCATTGATCAGTCTGCCCTGTCATGCAGTCCTCCTTTCGTATGTCTCAACAGAGTATCTCTTTTACCCCGTAGAACCCGTCTGCTATCTCTCTGGTTCAAGTATTTAGCTCAAATAAGACATACTAATCTTGATTGTTTGGAGCTATTTAATGCTTCTATCTATATTGGTTTATGGATAAGTATTCAGCTTGACTAAATCCACTGTTATTCATATAGTTTATAATTATTGACTATCTTGTTGCATGCGGATTATTACTTGTTACTCCTGGACCGTGTATTGAGCGATTTATACAAAACTTTTGTATATTCCTGTTCATGTCCGACCAAGAACGAATCAGGGTAAAATCTGTCCTCATTCATACTTTTTATTGCATTAAATCTGCTATTAATATTTGAGGATTCCTTTGGTATTTCCATAAGCTTTTAGGCATTGTAGAAGCTAAGCCGGCAACTAATAATATGCAAAAGTTCATGAGAAAAAAAACTACAATGATACAATTGAGAACTATCCTCAGGTAAACAGGGTGCCCTTCGAAATAGTTTGATTGCCTCAATATAAAGTAAACACCCTTCCAGAATAATACTCTATTGATAACGATAGTACGAATGAAGCATTATTTAGCTTGCGTTTCTCTATATTAAAGTGATCATATATATGATTATAAAGAACCCTTCAGAATGCATTATTATTGTTTCAAATCAACCAAGTATATAAATTTGATCATATCCAGTTAAAATAAGCTATTAAAGAAATGCAATTCACAGAGAGCCTACAAGGTAAAAAATTAAATCTAATAACCCAAATATTACAAGTTCATTCAAAGGCTATTGAGCCATTACCTTGGCTCAACGTTAAGGAATAAGCAATTAAGTTTGTTTATAAATTAGGCCAATAAAACGCATATTTAGGTAGCAATTCCCAGATAGAATCAATAAATGAGAACGGGAGGGCTGTACGCTTTTGGCTAGCCAGCTGAGTAGGGGTAAAAGCAAGCGTAATCAAGCAAAGAAAAAAGGAAAACAAAGCAGACTTACTTTGGAGCAAAGCACAAGGGAATGCTTAAAAGACTTTTCACCACAAACTGCCATCAGCGAAGAGTCTTCTCCCTTTAACTGATCAAGATACCGCATTATCAAATCAGATTCACTCAATTTTTGGCCGAAATTGATAAGTAACGGAACCTTTCCAACTGGGTGCATGTCGAGAAACCAGGAAGGTTTGGACTTTATGTTGACTAGCTTTAGATCAACACTGAAAAGAGAACATAAGAAATAATATGAACAAGAAGGGTATATGGCAGTTAAGCAAGCATATAAAAATTAGGCCAATTAAAACGTCAAATTGCGTAAAATCGGTCAGGGGATAAATTACAACATCTATACTACCAAAAATAAGATGCAAAAATAAATATAAGGGCTAATAACAAATGTTGTCTCCGACTCACTCAATACCGTGGAAGGAAATAGCGAGTAGACAGCGTTGTACGTAAGGGCAAAACCGGTAGCCAAATAGAACAAGTCTATCGGGATTTACATGGGGTTTGGGATCATCTAATATTGTGAATGGGTTACAAAAAGAAATTTACCAACGTTCAGATGGCGCATTACGAAGGGATAACGGAGACAAGCGGAGGGACCGATATAACAGCGTAACGATTGAGCGAAATAAAACGAGTAAGTTGGAATGAATTATAAAGAAGAAATTTTGGCTATACTACT